GGCGGGGCGGGAACAGCGCGGGCTGCGGGGTCACAGGGAGTGGGGGGCCTGAGAGTTGGGGGGTCCGGCCTGGAGAGCTCAGGGCACCTCCCAGTGCCTGAAGGGGCTCAGGAAGGCTGGGGAGGGGCTTTTCATCACAGAGGGCAGGGTTGTGCTTTTAAACTGAGAGAGGGGAGATTTAGGTTGGGCATCAGGAGGAAATTCTTCACCACGAGGGCAGGAAGGCGCTGGAACAGGTTGCTCAGGGAGGCTGTTGATGCCCCTCCCTGGAGGTGTTGAAGGGCAGGTTGGATGAGGCTTGTGCAGCCTGGTCTGGTGGGAGGTGTCCCTGCCCATGCAGGGATATTGGATCCTGATGATCTCTAAGGTCCCTTCCAACCTTTGATCATTCTGTGGTTCTATAATAACTAAACCGGTTCTTGGCACCTTATCACTTGCAGGAAGCACAGATGACTGGTAGCTTCCAAAACCAGTTTGCTGATGGTGGGAGGCAGTAATGGAGGTCAATCCAATAGAGACAAATACAGAATTCTCATTACTGAGCTCCACGAGGAGTCTTGTCAGCCCCTGTTCTGAGGAACACTGAGCCACAACTGGGGACCAGGAACTGTTGCAAAGGTGAGAAGAGGGGGACGTTTTTCAGAATTCACTTGGGAGTCTTTTTTGCAGGGAGAAGCTTTGCCATGTGGACTATTTAATACACATTATGACATCTATACAGGCTTTGACAACATAACAGAAGACAAACACTTGTTTCCAAAAGTTCACTGAGCTAGATGCCCCCCTCGAGGGGCTGCAGCCATTCAGGTGAGAGTCCTTTGCCCAGGAATACACAGGGCTGGTTCTGAGTTGGTGGCTTTTTTATTTGGTTTTGAATTAACAAGTGATTAATAACTCCAGTTGGGGCATGGGAGATTAAATGCCTTTCAGAAAGTAAAGGAAATTCTGTATATTTTTGGGGTGACCTTGAGGTAATCTGTAAAGACCAGAGATTGTCTAACAAATGTGGCCAGTTGGTAGTTTCCTTTGTTCAGGGTGCACATCTGATAAGAAATAATTAGACATTCTTCAGGGCTCTAGGAGGAGGATTTTTCAGGATTTTTCCAGGTCTACATCTGTTTCCACAGCAAACTTAAAAAGGAAACTGGATAGACTGCATATGGACATCCATCATCAATTTTTATAGACATAATACATTTTACTGGAGTTTTAATATCTTTTCTCACAGCCACATTGTATTGAAGTTGAAATTTATGCGAGGCTGTTTCATGGAAGTGTTAAAATACCTCTTTTAAATGCCTGTGGCTATTAAGATATGGCCCAGTAGTGCTCAGATAGTTTCCATCCTCCATTCTGTCTTTCTCTGAAACTGCCCTGACATGACTCTGCCCACCTTAAGTGCAGTGTTTGAGCACAGGAGAAATATTTTCCCATCTGTCTCTCAAGAAAGAAATTTTTTAAAAAAATTTTTCTAGTCAAGACTCTTTTATTTCTCCAAATTTCAAAAAGTTTATTTTCATGAGTAATTAAGAAAATAAGGAAAGACTGAAACCAGACCCACATCAAGAAGAACAAACAAACTCAGAGGTAACACATGCTTCTTCAGACACTCTGTGATTTCACATACAACAGGGATTCAGGCTCTGGTGAAAAGGCTTCCCCCAACTCACCACAGCAGTTTGTGGGATGAACAGTGAGGTACATGGACACATTCAGATGCTCATCTATTGGCAATAACTGACAATTCTATAAAGTTGCAGTAGCTGTTGAATAAAGGGATTTTTTTTTTTTCTTGCTAGGCAATAGGGAGCATGATGCTATTTGCCAACAGCAGCCAGATATTTTGGAGTTCTCTGGGCAGTTCTGTTCCACATCCCCTCACCAGGGATCCTTACTCTCTGCCAAGAAGGATAAAGAGCTGCCATTGCCTTGTGTGAAGTAGGCAAAAAAATACTGTTTTCAGGCCACTGTCCCAGCTTTAGAGCCTCTGCAGAGTGTGGAAATTGAGGCAGATGGAAATAGTGCATTCCACGTTTTCCCTGGATAACCAGTTGAAAGGAAGGATGGGGCAGAGAGGCAACAAAGCCTGAGGGATCCCTTTATCAAACAACAAACAACACTTTGATGCTTGGTGGGTTCTTTCCCCCCTTGACTACGGAGAAGGACATGGATGGGGCAGCACAAGCCAGCACAGGGACATTCTGGATCTGTTCTGCCCTGCTGCTGTTGCCGAGACTGCCACGCAGAAGTGCATCCAGGCCAGGTTTCAAATGCCATGGGGGTGGGGGGGGCTGCTCAGGACTAATCTCCCCACGACAGCAGTGCTGACTTAGCATGACCACCTGCCCAAGACTTTGCCCACGCTCTCAGGCCCGTTTTGCAGCTCCTGCTGAGGCCGGAGCTACTCCAGCCAGGCTGCTGACTGTCTCCAAGCTCTCCTGGTTAAAGCTAGCTTGTGTTTTTCAACATTACAGGGCAGCAGCAAAAGCAAGACTACAGTGTAGACATCCCACGTGTCTCTCAGACTTGGAAGTGCAACTTTATTTAGACGGACAAAAAAATTATAAATAGGTAAATTAAAAAAAAACAAAACAAACCATTTTTCTGGGTGATTTTGGAGAGAGCTGCCCCGAGGGTCCGTATTTCTCACATGCACTCAACTAAGATACCTTCATTTTGCCTTTCTCAGGAGCTGCTGGTTGGATGAGTGGCTGCTCATCCCCATTCACCGACAGGACCCTCTTCTCGGGCGGCTGCTCCTCAGGCTGGCGGGCGATCAGCAGGCGGCAGGTGAGCAGGATCCCAAAGACCAGGGCGTGGGCGTAACGCTTGAGGGGATCCCCCACCAGCTGGTGGAAAAAGAGCACAGCCAGCACCAGGAGGAGGAGGAGAAAGTTGGCCACGTCTTTGGGGCGCCCGGGCACCAGTGTCATGACGATGCCACACGCCACTTCCAGGGCCCCGATGCTCTTGCGGAGAAGGATGGAGCTGATTCCCATCTTCTTCAGCATGGGCAGGGCCCGCACGTAGCTTTTATAGGCTCGCTTCTGCAATCAGGCAGGAACAGCAGAGAACACCACAGTGTGAGAACATAAAGGCAACATTTTCCACATAAATAGACTGCTGAGCAATATAACCCAAAGGTAACTTCATCATCACAGACCCCTCTGGCATAATATCCAATCACTACCCCCAAAGCGTCTGTTGGAGGGATATTAACACCATCAACATGCAGTTCCCCCTTTATCAGCTGTTGGAGACCAGTTCTACAACCTCTTCTAAGCTAGGGCCAAGCCAGATGTCCCTTCTCTTGAAATCTGAAGTTACAAGTGCTAAAATCAGCAACGCAGAACCGTGTTGTCAAAAGCAAGTCCTGCTCTCAAGAGGAGCTCATCCTTTAGAATTAAATAACACACCCAGTCCCTGCAAAGTCAAAGCACTGCAAGTGAAAACACAAACCTGCTGCTGCCTCAGAGCAATTCACAACATCCCAGTGTTTATAGGCAGTACTGTCTTAGCATGGAACTATATATCAAAGCTGATTCACCAATCCTATCCTGTGCTGACAAACCCTTATGATCCTTTCTCTCCTCAGATGAAAGCCAGCTGACATTTGACACCCTTTGCTCCCTGGGTTATACTGGATTTAGAAGCCATCTAAGTTGGAAGACTCTGCCTCCTTACACAGCAGCCTCATTGTTTCAGTGAAGAAACAATCTCTGTCCTTAGACATGTTCAAGTTCTTGCATTTGAACATCAACTGCTTGTGGACTTACTGTTTTGTTTCTTTTTCAATCAAACATTTAATATTTTTAAAAATTATTTTAATACAGCTCCTAGTTATTGGAGACACTGAAATTATTTCCACTTACACTTGAGTCTCCTGTCCCTGCAGATATTCTCACCATTGTGTTCAGTGCTTTTTAATCAGGAACAGAGAAATGGAAGCCAAATCTCAGTACAGAGTTGTTCAGCTCTCACAGGCACTGATAAGATTGTAGATACAAGTCCATGTGATTTTGGAAACCTGCAGAAACCAGGCATTTTGGAAACCAGGCAGACAGATTTTGGAAACCTGCATTTTGGAAACGATACAAGTCCATGTGATTTTGGAAACCTGCACTACAGGCAGACAGAACTTCTCCCACTTCTCTGTGGGTTTTGCTGCTTCCTTGCAAGACAAGCAGCCTCTTCACGTGTGGTTGAAAAATAATACAGCACTGCAGTTTTTGGTACTAAATAAGATATCATGACATTTATTCTAAGCGTATGTATTGTAAGGGTGCATTGTAAACCTTCAGTGAAAAAAAACTTTCCTCAGAAGAGACTATTTTTAAACTGTTGTGGAAAATACAGCTTTATAAAGAAATGTCTTAGCATATTCTGGTATTTTAATATACAAACTAGTGTGTCTGGGTTTTGCTGGATGAAAAACTGGAAGTTTGGTGTTTTAGGTAGATAACAAAGGTTGTCTATTTTTGGGGGCTTATTGATTGGCAAGATCAGGTTTTCAGTGTCTCCATTACATGTCAGACCACTCTGGTATGCAGCAGAGCAAAGGCAAGAAAGCCCAAGGAGCCATGTACGTGCTCCAACGTGGGCTATTAATAATGATGGTGCTGTGCAATATCTGAGTGCCTCTGCTTTCTCTTTTTAAAAACAGAAATCATTCCTACCTGTAGGCCTGACTCATGGTAAAGCAGAAAGGGACAAAGAAACAGAATATTTTACAGAGCAAGGATTTTGCAGTGCTTCTAAAGTCCCAGTGCTTTTTTCCCCTGCTCTTTATGTTGCAGAAGAGCTTTGTTTTCTGGACGTTTTAGTTTAGTTTCTTGCTCCCAAGTTACTTCTTGGTGATGGTTCTCTCTGAGATCTGGGCTGCAGAGCAGGCAGTGCCATTTGGGTGTTATTTGAGAGCTAAGGAAAAGCAGCTGGGCAGGTGGAGCAAAAGGAGAGAACAGAATGTGCTGGAAACTCTCAGCACTAATTTTTAAGGGGCACAAAAATTATACCAATGCGTTTCAGCCACTGTGATAAATATACCAGGGGTGTGGGGGAGGAGGGTGGCAGGAGAATAAACAAACACAGATGAGGAAGCAGAACGTGGCAGCCAGTCCCTTGCCTGCCTGCAGCTGGCAAGGCTCTGCAGCAGGCCCTGGGCAGAGAGGAGCACCAACTAGCTCACCAGCTGAGAAATGCACAGGATGACTCTGCCCTCCTCTCCTCACCCCCTTCCCATTACACAAGAGGAGGAGAGCCTCGTTTCCCAGAGTAAGGAGAATAAGGTGACTATTGATGATACCTTCTTCTGCCAGCTAAGAGTCTCAGAAGCGTTTTACGGTCATTAATTAATCCCTGCACAAGTTGGGTGACAGAGGGATAGTCAGGGTCATTTTCCTTCCTTTAAAGCACAGAATGTTGTGGATGATCATCTGGCTGCCAAAGCAGGCATTTGCTTTTCCTACCTGGAGTAGGTATTCTCCCAGGGATCAGCTGCACCTGCCCAGTACATTCCTGGCGCTTCTTCAGACCTTGCTTTCCCCAGACCCGTGTGTCTGTCCCCATCTTTCTGCAGGCATCAGTGTGCAGTGCTTACCCCATCCTCCTCCCCTCCTTGTCCTTAACCACAAAAGGTTTCTCCGTGGGTAGGCTCAGGCAGAGCCCAGGCAGCAGCTGCCAGGATATCCTCGCCACGGCATTTTGTTTATCTCCATGTCCATCAAAGAAGCAGACAGATAAGCTTCTTCCTGCTCCCTCCCATCGATCAGGGCTCCAGAGCCTGATACCCCCCCCACATCCCACTGCAAACACTGCTTCTGCTGCAAAGATTGAGGAGAGAAAGCCCTGAAAACGCATCTCCCTCCGTGCTGCTGTACTCACCATCTCGTTGTAGGCATCTCTGCTGAGCCGAGGGGTCAGTTTGATGGTTCCCATGAAGACGAAGAAGAGCCCCAGGGCCACCGAGAGGGCAATGATGGTGATAGTCCTGGGAGATGCCATGGAACGGGTCCTGGGAACCGGTCCTAGCGAGGCCTTCTTGATCTGGCTGCCAGCTAGGGCAGGAGGTAGTCAGTCACCATGGGAGGAGATGAGGAATAAAGCTGCAGCAGGGATGAGAGCGGGAGGGGGATTCAGCCTCCTCCTCTCAGCAGCCTCCGGGTCCTAATGCCCGGCAGCAGCTCCAGCTCCTGCTGAGCAAGGAGCATTCCCACTGCTCCCACCATTGCCATCCTGTTCCCTTGCACGTTGCATAAATTACCCACAGGAAGCCAAAACTGAGCCGGCTCGGGGGATGAAGGAGAGGCAGCCAAACGCACAGCGCGGTTCACACGTTATCAGGAGCAACCTGCTGTGGAGGAAAAGTGGTCAGAGGTCCCTGGGATGCAGGCAGCTTCCAGTTTCAGATGCTCAGACACTAGTGCACAGCAAACAACATCTTGCTTAATACATTTGCCCCAGAAAAGCAAAAAAATATTTGCCTTGCCTTTGTGGTGCTCCTGGAACCTGATGCCCAAAGGGGACAGTGAGGCTGCTGTGCCACCCTCCCCTGCTGCAGATAAAACCTGTCCTTTATGTTTAGCTCTCCAGAGACTAGTAGGAAGGTTCCTGATCCTCTATTTCTATTTTAAAGTCATTTTCTCTTCCCCTCTAATTTGCAACAAAATCCCTTTTGACAAAAGCATAGCCAGGCTAAGTAGAAATCCACTCAGATCTCACAGCAGGGAGCCAAGGTATAATTGTACAAAACAGAACTGCTGGAGAACTGCAGTCCTCACTATAAACTGAAAACAAGAGAATGAAACTGTGTGCAAAAATCTTACGCTCATGGGTAGTACAAGAGTGATGCTTCCCATGCCTGTCAGAAATCTCCCTAACACCCCCCTTTCTTGTGTGCTAAGACTCAAGTCCTAAGCCCGTGTATTTTAAGCCCCTATGACTTGAGAACTGGTGGTTGTGGTTATTTTTCCAAGCTCAGGGCTCCTCAGGACTGGAGTTAAAAGTCTGAAAAATACAGGCAGCTCTCACAGTTTCCTTGTGAGTTTATCAGCCTTGATTCACCCCCATCAGACAGGGAATGTAGAAATAAATTCTGACCAGGATAAACCAAAAGGTAACTTCAATACAACACAAAAGTAAGAATTAAAAAATAAAAAAGCCCTCAAAACAATATGGATTCACAAAACACAAGGAAATTGCTCACTCAGACCTACCTCCAGTAGCAACTCCATCTTCTGAATAGCTAGAGAGAACTTCACTAACACTGAGGTTCACAGCTTGCTAGTCAGTGAACATGGCAGGACAGACACAAATCACACACAACTTTTGGATTAGCTCTTGCAGAGCAACCTGATGAGGGACTAAGTTGGTGCTGCTGACATTTTCACAGGGCACTTCATATTTAGGTATCTGCAAGCATTAGCAGGGAAGGGGGAGGCACGTGTGGAAAGACACTGAAATGTGTTCTGTTTTAATTCATAGAAGAATCTTTCTCATTGCCTCCAACTTACCCACACAACTGATAGTGATTCAATGCTGGGTTTGGAAGTTTATACATTAAATATTTCCCTGACCCCAAAAGTCAAGGTTTTCCCAGTGAAGCATGAGTATTTCTAGTGCCTATGGTTTCTTCATAGAGAGTTCACTATCAGCTTGAAAAACATGACATATCCTTGAAGCAAGTGGGGAACTAATGGCATGAGGGTATTAAAAACACAGGGGATTTTAGTACTTTGTGTTCTCATGTTGATGGTGAAAACCCACAATGCTGGGCAGAGGGTATTTTCTAGCAGCCCAAGAAGAATTTTGCTAGGAAGGGTGATTAAATGCTACACAGAACCTTTTCAGCCCAGAAATCCCAGTGTTTCCTTACAGAACAGTGCAGTTAGGCAACCCAAAATAAGAGCAAAACCTAGATTATTTATTTATACCAACTTTCAAGGAAATAAGTTAAAATCCTAGCTACATCAACTCCAACCCTCAGGAGGGTAGCAAATTGCTTCCCAAGCTCTCAGGGCTGGCACAGCGGCCACCTCCTTGTCAGCGTGTGAACAGCAGCACCAGCTCACAATGAACAGTATGAGGAAACATGTCAAAGGGCACAGCCAACACGGGGACAAATGGCTCTCCTGCCAGCTTCTTCCCTGGGTCAGGTGGGCAGCACAGCCTGTGGAAAGCAAAGAGAGCATCCTTTAGACCAGCAGCCTTCCCACCATTGTTGGTAGCACAATAAGCACAGGGGATGCACTGAGGAGGCACCATGTCCTTAGCTAACATCCCTCAGTCTGCAGCCAATGCTGGCTGAGGTCTACAACCATCAATACTGAATCCCAAACTAGCTCTGGAAAACCTCACAGACAAGCTGAAGAGCCAGTAGCAGGTTTAAAGCTCCCTTTCTCACAAGCCATCCCAACTGGAAGACACTTAGTACCCACAGGAAATAATCCTCAGTTCTGTACGACCTTTGTTGCTTACCTGCAGACACTTGTATTACCTGCAAAAGGGGCCTGCCCCAGATATAAAGACTTAGATGTATGATTAACCCTAAGCTGGTGACTGATCCCCTTGGCTTCACTTACTTGGCCCAACCTTCCTGGAGTGAAACCTGTGGACTCTGTATCCCACATCCAGATGTGCCATGTTGTTGGGGAAGGGTGCACGATGCCATTAAAGCAACTTTGCATTACTTTATATTCCTTACTGGTGCACTACAGCATTTTGCTGGAACATAAACCCCAAAGAATACCTGCTACCTCAACCAGTGAGTGCAGCTTGCAGGTAAACCCAAAGTAATACAGAAGCATAAAGCATTGCTGACCATCCACTGACTAGTCCTGGATCACCTGCAGAACCTTCACCCAGTGAAATTCAGAGGGGAACAACAAAAAAAAAAGCCTCCCCAAGCCAAGGTCAGATATTTATGTCCTTGTCTGGACATAATGGGGTCTGTCAGTCACTAAGGTTAGTGGAAAGGCAGGTGCTCACTCCAGAAAGTTCCTCATGGCTTCACCCTCAGGCTTGCAGGAGATATAGAGCAGCCTTCGGATGGACTTGCAGTTTCGGATGGCTCGCACAACCCTGGGATCTGCAAAAACAAGATACCTTGCTTTCCCAGGCTCCCACCACCAATGTAAGCTCTCCAAAAGGAATGATGGTACAGCAAGTAACACAGAACTGCACTGAACTGTCAAAAATACAGGGGGAAAAAAGAATATACACATTTTGCCATGTTGCATCTCAGATGCAGGCTCCTGGGAGGCCAGGGATGTAACCCATGCTGCTAACAGCTCAGCCACTTTGGCAGGATAGAGCAGTGGGAAAATCCCTCTGCTTCCCAGGAAGAAGAATGAGATAAAAATTGTTACTTAATTAATCAGAGGCTTAACCTTCCACACACACTATGAGCCAGCATCTGGGCACCAGGACCAGTTTGGGACATCCCAGTACACACTAGAGTGAGTCCAGTGGAGACCACTAAGATGGTTAGAGGGCTGGGGCACAGAATGCATGAGGAGAGCGTGAGGGCTGGGGTTACTCAGCCTAGGGAAGAGAAGGTGAGCAAGGATCTATTTGCTATCTTCAGGGGCCTCAGGAGGGTTTACAGAGAAGCCAGAGCCAGAATCTTCTCAGAGCGGAATGAGAAGAGGACGACAGGCCATAGATGCACTGCAGAAAGGGGAAATTCTGATTAAATATATTATGGAAAATAATTTCAGGAGAGAGCATCCACCCTTGGACACACTCAAACCTCAACTGGGATTTACTGCCCTATACAACTGCAACCTTATACAACTCTAAAGCTGGCCTTGCTTTTGTTGGGAGGTTGCACAACAGAACTCCAGAGGCTCCTTCTCAATAACTCTGTGAGCCTATGAAAGATGGTAAAAAGATTAGAGCTGTCTGCTTTAAAGAGAAAGCATGATATAGGTACTGAAAACAGCAGGGATTTTAGCTGCTGTCAGCAACACGGTAAGGAACTAGAGACTAAGCAGGCAGAGGGACTGGAGCAAGTAGAACAGGTTTCGCAGAACTTGTTCAAAATCCTGTTTTCAGGATGAAAATAAATAGCATATTCTCTCACGGAGCCCAGCCCGAGACGGGTTCACCACAGCAACAAGGGGTCGGGCATCCTCCCACGATGACAGGAGTTGTGGTAACACAGCCTCTGCCTTCCCACTGTGAAACTCACAGTTCAAAATCCCTGTGAAGCAAAAAGCAACCCCATGAACTGAGCAGTCTCACCAGACATTGGGTAGAGCATGAGGTATCACATGGAGGTAACTTGTTAGGATCCCTCTGCCCACTTCTGCTTCTGACTTTTCAGCAGTTAGGTTTAAATTTTCAGCCATGGTGAGTCTGAACTCACCATTGAATGCTGCATTCCACCTGGCATCCTCTACTGCCTTCTCCACAACCTCAATACCAATAATCTTGGACACTTGGCGAGCCAGAGAGAGACCAATTGTGCCTGGAAACAAGGGATACAAAGACATTTTGTACATCCATGCTGAAGAGACAAGCTTTTGCAGAGTGAGGATCATTGTTGGCACACAAAGCTTCAGCCCTGGTGGCCACTGCTCACCTGTTCCACAGCAGATGTCAAGGAGGACAGTGTCCCCACCAGCCTGACACAGCTCCCCGACTGCCTGGTACAGAACTTCTGCTCCACTCGTGTTTACTTGGAAAAAGGCATCTGGAGAGATGCGGAATTTCAGGCTGAGCAGTTCTTCAAAGATGTGTGGCTCTCCATGAAGGAGCTGGAAGGGGGACTGCTGGTGGGAGCAGCGTGTCATGGTGCTAGCAGAGCACACAAAAACCAGCTGTTAGAAGGCAACACATTTCCATTCCTGGGATGCTCATGTGCAGGGGATGATGGTTCTCCCCCCATCAACTTTTATTTCATGTGAGTCTTTCAACAGGATCAAATAATTCCAGTTCTTTGTAAGGCATCTGTAACTTGCACAGCCTAGAATTTATTAAAAGGATCAAAATAACTTCACAGAAGGCAACAGCCCTGGGGTCTATTCCCCAGTTTTGCTGCTGATGTGATTTACTGTCTCAGGAAAGGCACTGTAGGATTTTTTCTTTAGTTTAATTTCCTTTTTTTTTTTTACCTTGGCTCATAACTCCCACATAGTAGAGCCACAGTGTACTCAAGTATTTCAGGTCTGGAATAACCAAAATACGTGGCCACCTTAAAACCACACCTGCAAGAGGCATCCAAACCTCTCCTGTTCTCTTGCAGCACTCCCTGAACTGGTAGAATTTGAATTTAATTGGAAGGGGGGAGAAAAAGGGTGGCTTTGTTTCCACTCTTCCCCTGTGTGAGGACATATACCTCTCTTGGAAATAAAGTGAAGTCAAGGCACAGACTGTTCCAGGTCCAGATGTGAAGAACTCCTTAAGCAGTGCTTTCTGAGTAGACAGTGCCTCCTGCCAAGAGCAAGGAAAACAAGGCTGTGTGGGCAATCTGGTGGGACACTCCTCCCCAGCAAAACACCCAGCAAGCTCAGTTCAGCGCCAGACCTGATGTGGCTCTTCCCAGGGGGCCCTGTCCTCCTTGTGCTCACCTGGCCCAGCTCCTGGGGGTGGAAGGTGATGATCCCCATGGTGTGGCCACAGCTGGTGGTGCGAACCACAAGTTCTCGCCAGTGTCCTCCTTTGTGGAAGAGGATGCAGGGGTCCAGGGAGGAGCGACGGATGAACTCCTCGTAGCACTGAGCAGAGGGGAAATGGCACTTGGAGGACAGTGAAGACAGCTGCTGTTGTCTTAGAATAACCCTGTGCACCCCAAAAAAAGTGGCCCTTCCACCAGTGTCATGTGTTTTTCTGTTTGGTTTCAATACACTGAGTGAAAGCTCTAAGTTACTGGAAGACAACATGTTTTAATTTAAATTTGTGATTCTTAAGTATTTTAATAGATTGGAAGGAATTCATTGTCACTTCATTAACTTCATTCTTTGACACATTACAGGCTGCAACAGTAACACAGAAGTTTTAATAAAATATGCATCCATCAACCAGAGTCAGGCTTGAAACTTTTCAGAACATAAAAAAGGACTTGAAAAGCCAGTGTAAAGTGTAAATAAAATCAGAATGTTTTCCCAAGAGTCATGGCAGTCCCTCTATTCCACAGTCCAGGGACAGACACGACATTTATTTACCTGGGCTACTTGTTTGTGTTTTGAGGGTATGTTCTTCATGTGGTCAGCTTTCACACAGACAATATTCCTTGCTGGAGAGAGACAGACAGGTATTTCATTGTTTTGTTTCAGGGCACATAAACCACTGTAGCATCTGACACAATAAACTGTGGAGATGCCTTTCACCTGAACTCCCCCACTGTACAACAACAAGAAGAAAAATAAATAAATAAATAAATAATTGTATCTAAATGCCCCAGTAAGTCCTGTGATGTTCTGGGTACCCACAGTCTGCAGGATCTGCCAGAATTCCCTTTGCCAGTGATTACTGTCACCGCCCTCCGTGAAGGGGTTGGAGCTGCAGGAGCTTTTCCGGTGTCCCAGAGCACCTCCCGAGCTCCCCTGGGCTGCCCTTACGCTGAGGCAGCCGGAGCAGCCGGCGGGTTTCTGACCGGGCAGCGGTGCGGGCTGGCGGCAGCAGAGCAGCTCAGCCCGCCTGCAGGGCCGCGTTCCCGCTTCGCTTTGGGTGCTCAGCTCCTGCCGCCGGGGGTAAACCGCATCGCTGCAGTTACCGTTGCGGTGGGAAAAGCGCAGCCACCCCAGCGCCTGCTGCTGCGGGTGCCGAGCAGCGAAACCCGGGGCTGGAGGCGCGGGCAGGTCACCCCGAGCAGCTGGCAAGGAGCTCTCGGCTCGTGTCTCTGCTGCACAAACCCAAACGGCCTCACGTCCCAGCGCCCCGATGCTGCTCTGCTGCCCGCGGGGACACACACCCCTCCGGGCTCTCCTGCGCAGGAAACGAGCTTGGAAAAGGGCTGCCCCTGGCTGGGGGGGTTTCTCTTGGCAGCCCCCAGGCCCGGGCTGTCACAGCAGAGCTGGCCCCGACCCGGCCCACCCGGCAGGTTCCTGCCCAGCTCCTTGTCCTGCACTGACCTCTGCCAGTTCCCACGTACAGCCCCACGGTCTTGGGGTTCCCGTCTGGTCCTCGGTTCACAGAGAAAGTAGATTTGTTTCTGTAGCCATGGGTGATGGGCTGAGGGAGAAGGAAAAGGAAAGCCCTGGGTTACAAGGAAAAGTAACGGAGAAAAGCCAGAACCCAGCCTGGTTGTTGTGTTGGCAGCACGGGAACACACCCATGGACGTGTCACAGGCTGCAGAAGCAGAAGGACTCACCGAAGGGACCACAGGCTGGAGAGGACAGCAGAGTCCACCTGCTTTCCGTGCACCTGTGCCCAGCTCCTCAAGATGAGATGCCAGTGTCTGCAAAACCCTCCTCTGGCTTTCATACTTCACCTGCAGAGGAGTCCTGAGCCAGAAACACTCTCATAGGACCACACGATGGTGGGCAGATCTTAATCACCCACCTCTGTGAAGGCCAACAAGAGGGAATACTGCAAAGGGGATATAGCCCCAGAGGAACTCTGCCTTTCTCATCACTGCAGCTGCTTAGAGCAATGGGGAAGGAGGAAAATCCCATGGGCCCCAAGGTCTGACCTGGAGCATTTGGTCCAACCTGAAGCCCCAGTGAACCAGCTGTCCTGCACTGGACAGGATCCTCTGCTTAGAGCAATGGGGAAGGAGGAAAATCCTGTATCCATGGGCCCCAAGGTCAGACCTGGTCTGACCTCTAGCAGGAGGGTTGAACTAGATGATCTCCAGAGGTCCCTTCCAACCCCTACCATTCTGTGCTTCTGTGAAGTTCCCATCCTCTGTGCTGTTGGTGATCACACACACCACACACAGGGAACCTCCTGGTTCTGTCCTTCCCAGTAACTGAAGAATCAAAGCAGCAGGAAGTGGGGCTGAAGAGTTTACAGCATTAAGTGACCAAGATGCTGGGGGCTGTTGCTCACAGGTGATAGGAAACAAGACAAAGTCCACATAAGCACATCATACCTGCAGCTGCTCTTGGTAGGGAAGTCTCCACAGTGGAGTCACTGCATTTGCTAACCTGCAAAGCACAACATCACAGTCCTGCCCAGAGCTGCTAGTGCCATAACATCCACACCAGCTGCTTCATGGGCAGGACCATCCCAGTATGGGCTCTGCACCAGAGCTGGCTGTCAACATCCAAACCCCCTTCTCACAGCACCTTCTTGGTGCAGAACACTTGTCACTGAAATAGGGGCCCAGGAACCACAATGACCCAGCTCTCCAGGTGACAGGCTGAGCCTTGGGTAGAATGACCAGTGGTGTCTGTGTGTCCTGAGTACCCCAGACATCTTTCTGATCCTCCTTTAGAGGACAGGAACAGTGTTTCCCCTGCCCAGGGACCCAGAGAAGAGCTGCTGAGCCCTGTGTGAGATCTGACTCCAGGTTGGTAAAGCCAGGGAATGAGTATTCACATGTTGCTGGGGCTAGAGGGGGCAAAAAAAACAAAGTGAAGAGAAAAGGGGAGGAAACAGATCATGCTGTAGCTAAAAAAACACAACAAGGCTGATTAAAAAAAAAAAAAAAAGAGTAAGGGGTGAGGTGGATTTTATCCATAACTGTCCATCAACTACTGAGCCACTAAACCCATGGAGATCTGCACCCACAGCTCAGTAAGCTGCTCTTAATACTTACTGGGATTTTTGGAGCTGCTTCCAAAGCACCCAGTGCCAACTACATTCAAAGAACTGCAAATCAAATGGACTGTTCCCTTTTGCTTGCTTTATGGCAACTGTTCTGCTCCTTATCCCCTACCCTTAGACCTCTTAATTTGTCTTTGCCATTATTCCTAACCCCAGGCCAAGCTGCAGGGAAGCCAGCAGGGCCCTGGCTCCTCTAATCTTACCCTGGGTGGAAGCGAAAACCCCAACCCTCTGCTCTGACCACTTCAGGTGCTTGGTGCTTTGCAGGAGCACTTGGTCACTTTGGAAAAGCCATACCTGTCCTCCCAGGAGGAACCTGGCAGGTTGCAACCCTCCGTGGACTTTTTCTTCTCCTTCCACTTTGCTGCTGCCTTCTTCTCTGTCAGCCGATTGCGGCCACGGCCGGGCAGGCTGCTCAGGGGAGCTCTCGAAGGGTAAAAGTGCCGGCACGGCAGCCTCAAAGCTCGGGACAGAGCCATGGTGGGCAGGAGAGGGGCTGCAGCCCCGCAGGCAGCACAGCGAGCCCGCCGCGGCCACGCACCTGCGGACGGGTTGGGAAAACCACCAGAAAATAAACCGCTGAGTTTAAAAAGCGGGGCTCCGGTCCCGGGCCGCAGCTTCACCGGCCCC